GGGGGGGGGGGGGGGGGGGTACGCATGTAAATGCATGCAGTAGTCGTTAGACCATCGACCTCGTATCCCAACAATTCCGGGACGGAGCGATATGCGGGGTTTTCGCCGGCCCAGGCTTCGTTTCACAATCTTGAACCAGAAGCCGATGATCATCCTTGCGTTTGCAGTGCCAATCCAGATATGGGTTGATTGGGCATCCCGCCTAACCAGACGTTTCACATTCGGAAGGCACGACAATATTTCTTGGGGTTCCGCAATGGACTTCGATCTTGACGCACTTGCACACAACAGGCGCGACACACACTACGGACACGTCGCTTTGTGTGTGATCCGCTTCAATCACAAACTGCACAACACGCAGTGGGAAACTTCCAGATGGTGTAGAGTAGTTCATAAGATTTGTACTCTGTATAATAGAGCGTTCCAACGATCCAGTGTTCATCGGATATCCTAGGAGGTGTGCGCTATGGGGTCGATAGGGCCAAAGCCCCCACGCTCAGAGGATATATACCAGATGAACAACCCCCATGTCCGAATGGTATGGGGGTTGGTGAACTTCGTTGTGGACACCAATTGCTGGGTTTAGGGAGGACATGTTTCTTCATGTTGGCGCGTTCTCAGTTCAACGGCAGGCGCGGTTCTCTCACTCACCAATTCAAACTCGCCGAGGTAGGGCGAGTCCTCCTCCAGAACCAGTCCAACTGTCGGAGAGGGAATCGGAAAACGGCGACAAGTGAAACGTATTACGACCGTCCGGGGGGGGGGGGGGGGGGGGGGGGNGGGGGGGGGGGGGGGGGGGGGGGGGGGGGGGGGGGGGGGGGGGGAGATAACGCCCCAACGTTTGTCGCCGGGAAGGGCAGGTTGGAAACTGTGACCGACTGAGCAGATAACGACAGTCTAGGTGGGGGGCGAAGTTTGCAAGTAACACGTTCCATGGAATCGATATTTGGGCCAAAACATGAACCGCAATCCTAGGTATAAAGTGTTGCGCAGCATTGTTTGGCTGGTGCGAACACACTAATCCCCTCAGAGCTTTTGAGAAAGCATGGGTCACAGAAGGAACGTACACTAAAGATAGATATCACTGGAAACATGCGTTTTGGATAAATGGGGAAAGCATAAACACTTGTTTATCCTACCAGACAGTGACGTACAACAAACATCTTGCCACGTCAGCGAGGGTACTCATTGGTCAGCTCTGCTCACAGTGCGCTTTGTTGAACGTGTCGGACAGGATGTCCAGGCCGCAGTACTCGTCGGCCACTCGGTACGCAGCCGTGACGGAGTCCACGAGTGTCACCTTAACGGTCTCGTTGTCCACCTTTTGTGCGGACGGACACCGGAAGCGGCATTCAGCTTTCACCGTTCGGACTTCCCACCGAGAACAGACGGGAAACGCGCAGCTTCAGATGCGAGAATCGGCGGCAGCCGAACAGCATGGCCACCTAAGGACCGAAACGTCGCTAAATGACCTGACCTCCCTGAATCGCTTATTTCTCTCCCTTTTGCATGACACCTGTTTCAGTGTGCACTACGGGGGAACGTCTGCGGCAACCATGCAACGGGCTGGTTCAAAACGGTTACGAAACGGAGCTTCGATTTGCCCCCTCGTTTCATCGCTGTCGTAGCCGTAGCAGAGAAACAAACGCTTCATTTTCCATCCGTGGGCAAGGCTCCATCAGGCCACAATCCGCCGACACCATGGTGAAACGGAATTAACCGCAAAAAAAATATGTCTTGAACCTGTTACACGCCAATCAAGTCAGTTGAGATTTGGCAGTAGACGCGTGGGCCAGGCCCAATACCTGGCAAAACACGGTCACGCTTTCAGGTAGTCAACAACGCCCAGCAGCAGCAGCAATATCAACAATAAGCAGCAGCGACAGGAGGAATTTCTTCGTGGGACGTCGATGCGGTCCCCACTCACCAACTCAAAGCATTCCTCGATCGTGTAGCACGTGACCGGAAAGTTTTCGTCTTCGCCTGAAACCCGTAGAGAACGGTAGGGCGTGGATAGTGACTTGCACTCGAGAAAACGTCGGAAAAACGGAGAAGGAAGTAACACCTTCACCCGCTTCAAGTTTTCAAGATATACCCCGAAATGCATGCCTTCAACTCAAAATATCAGGGTGACATGTATGGTGTGATGCAAGGACTCCCAACGCATGCGCCGAAGGTTCGACATGAACTATGTTGTTAGGTGATACGAGGACTCTAAATCATGTACCGAGAAGCCTGACCAAGTTCACGGGAGGCTGCCGAACAAGCCAGTTCAGTTAGCGTCCGTGAAATCGAAATCCTTCCTCGAAACAGAACCGATTCCACGGCGTACCTCCGTAGCATTCCGCTGCCCCATAGCAACCCATGATCTCCTCCTCGTAGAACGCTTGCAGGGTGTCATCTTGCCGCACCGCCACCTAACAGTTTTCACCAAATTCGACAACTGTTCTCGAAACGTATGTCACCCATCCTCCTCTACTGCACTTTGCTCGTCTTCGCAGCAGCGAAAGTCTCCGAACGAGTATAGGCCAGTCGAACCACCGTTTTCTGTTTGAAACAAGTCCAGCACGACCGTGAAAAGACAGTACGATATCAAATCTTCAAGGTTAAACGGCGGGGATATCCGTCCCACCACAGAAGGCGAGAGGGGCACGTTCTGTAGCGGTGTCGTTGTCGGCCGCTTGATGGCTCACCTGAGTATGTGGCACTGCTCCATTCTTTAAATCGTCCACCCCGAAAGACTGGGTAGTCACGAACAGAAATATCGAAACAGGCAGACAGACGGACAGACAGAGAAAACGACACCAACGCTCAGGGTAATTGAAATAAGTCCCATCCTATTTGCAAAGCGGCGGATAGCAAGACTAGGTGGCTTCAATAATGAAACACTGTTTCTATCGCTACAAAGCAGAAAGCCACAACTCGAAATAATAGCAACGCAAGAGTCGACAAGGGTGCTGCAATCTAGCAGAGCATAACGCGAAGCATGCACGATGTGAGAAAATACAGAATGTAACTCAACGCATACTCTACACGATCTGGAGCACGGCGGCATGTAAGTCGATGTACAAGGTCTACAAAAACGACACAGAGAAGAACCGCCACCGCACCAGGGCCTCCTCCTTTTCTGCAGAAAGGAATGACGCCAGCTCGGCGGTGAAGGACGCCCCGAGGATAAAGCACGCGAACATCCACCCTGATGTCAGGATATAGCTCTCGACGGTGTAGGGCTCGTGGGCCATCTGTCCCATAAGCAGGGCCCCCGTCACGTACGACGACATCGCCATGCCCTGATTTCGTCGCAAAGAACGTTGGAAAGCAGGGGGGGGGGGGGGGGGGGGGGGGGGGGGGGGGGGGGGGGGGGGGGGGGGGGGGGGGGGGGGGGGGGGGGGGGTACTCATAGTCGTGCATGCCGTACTCGTTAGTCCATTGACCTCGCATCCCTACAAAGCCGGGACGGAGCACGCCGGGTTCTCACCGGACTAGGCTCTCACATCACCAAGCGCGGAGCACCGTGAGTTATTCTGTGAGACGCATGAACGGTGTGTGTGTGTGTTTTTTTTTCCGATGTGGGCGTGTGGGGGGAATGGTGGCGTTTGAGTTTGTGGTTTCGTTGCCGTGGCCCAACATGGAAAAAATGGTGAATCGAGTATGTTACATATCTCTCAAAGCTATGGACGACTATCATGTGCCTTGTGTTTCGGGCGGCTTGCGTGGGGAGAGGAGCAGAGAGCATCGGCAAAGGCAGGACGAAACAATAAGTTGTGTTGAAAGGACAAACAAGATCTAGAGTAGATCCTGGCATACCGAACGCGCCCCCATTTGGTAAAACTCTCGATCGTCGTTCGAGGCACGGTTTGTATTTCCTGTGCGGGATACCCCAGCATCGTAGCATCATTATCTAAGCATCTGAGAACATTCAAATTTAACTATATACTAGTTTGCGCTACTTTAACTACACGTTGTCCCGCAACTCTTACCGATGAGAGCCGCCGTTTGCTGCCCGTCGCCGTGGGCACCTTGTCCATGAAAAGCTCGTTCTGCAGGACCCCAAACATTCGGGGTATAAAAGAAAATTTCACAGGGTTCCACATGATCAATCGCTGCGGCATGCAACGAGCAACTCCCACGGTTTTTCGCACGAAGAGTGAAATGGCGTTTAAGAAGAGCTCGGGGAGTCAATCCCGGAACGAACGCTAGGTTCGTGCGGTCGTCGGAAAAACCTGATTGCTGCGTGGTTTCTTACACGCCTAACAGGAACTAGCAACGCGCCAGAAACCAGTATTCGCACAACGTTTATCTGAGCGCGTAAGGTGGGCATGATTCCATACGCAGCCTGACACACTTTCGACGCTTTGAGCGGACCAAAATAGCGCCAAAACCCTACGTAGACAGGGGTTACCGTGGCGTGGAAATCCGACACGAGGTCGGAAAAAACGGGCTGGCTTAATGCATGGAGAATGTCAGGCGCTGGTGAAGGTTTGCAAGAATTGCTCCCACATGTGAATTTACCCGATCGAAGAAACAGAGAAACGATTGTGTTCGAACACGGGACTGAGTACATATACTCGGTTCAGATTTCCCCTTTCCGAAGATGATGCCATGCCGAGAAGCCTCGTACCCGCCGCCTCTGTGCTAACCTACCGTGTTTACCTCCTGCATCGGAAATCACGCCCCCCCAATCGGTCTGTTTAAGACCGGAACGGCCGAAGAAAGGCGTAGAACTACAAACCTCGTGTGTGGCCTTCCTGCTTTGTGACCCCGGATAATGCTTCCACACGTATATTCCGAAAAGGCGTAAAAACTGTCGTCTAAATAGAGAAAACGGGACGATAGACGTATCTGTATTAATTCTTTAAGAAATTCTTCTTGAAACTATTTCCAGTCCACCCGGACCTTTGCGCCATCGAAGAGCCAGAGAAGCGTGAACATTACCACCGTTGTCCCGACGATGAGCATCCAGAGCGGTCGTTCGAACGGTTCGAACATTTTCCACCAGTTAACCTGAAATACGATGGAGGCGTTTGGACCACACGGCGAATTTGTGGCATGTCCAAGAGAGATAGCCCAGGGCTACACTAGCCAACGAAGCTGACGTTATTCGGGCGTTACCTCGAAGTCGCGGGCGTATTTGAGACACGTATTGTACCGCATGTTGCACAAGCCACCACACGCCCGGAACGGTCGTCAATGCCCGGTTAACTCTGCAGGTGACTGTGCCTGAACTCGCGGCATCGGAACCCTCTCATCGTGAGCTTTCGGAAACGTACCATTTGATTTTGGCATCCCCTTCGTCGTGGAGTCATTCATCGCTCGAACCTGTCCAAGAGGTGTGAGATCGTTATATCTGACTCGCAAGCAGCAAGGCAAATAATTTGCAGGAGGATGGGCTTGGAAAAAGTGTCGGCTTCGCACCTTGTCAACAACCTCCGGTCGGTAGACGAAGGACAGCCCCGTCGCCATGAAAGGGTAGGAAAACGACACTGTGTCCAGTCGGCGCTCGCTGATGATCACCTGGAGTTAGGCCGATGATTGGTTGAAAAATTCGAAACTTGGTTGTCTGTGGCGGTATAGAACCAAGCTCTTTCGAGTGCTTGGGTGTTGGGACAGGGTTGATGTAGCTGTTGACAACAAACCGGATTCATTCTTTGTCAGGTGCCTGAATACGTGCTAAAGTAAATCGATTTTAAATGGCTTGTTCACGAGAACAGACACGTTTTGTGGGTGGTGATGTCGACCCAGTCCGCCGACCACTATTATTGATGTCGACAACAAGTTATCGACCCAGTTAAAGGGATTTTTTGGTTGTGATGTGTCCAAGGATAATTCAATCTTGTTGAGGTAGACAGTGGCCTTGACGACCCGAGCAGGAGAACATTCTGAAGAACGTTCCCATAGCCGGTAGCGCTTCTACACAGCTGCTGCTCGCCCCTGCAGCTGGTTGCTCTCACGGCGACGTTCTCTGAATGAACTACTGCCAATGAGAGTGGTCGCCATTGCCATACTTGATTCGATACACAGAGATTTTTTCAGGAGAGGCATATCTTCAGAGTGTACTACTGTACCAAGATCGTGCGTGGTACGGGGGCCTCACCGACGACGCCGCCATGTCGTAGGTCCCGTTCGAGACGTAGTCTATGACCTCGTCGGAGGAGACGGAAGCATTCGCCACGGATATGTTGTACGTGAAACCGAGCCGGCCAGAAAGAACCTGACGTTGTCGTCGTCGTCGTCGTCGTCGTCGTCGTTGATGATGATATTGTGTTGTAGTCGTCATCGTGTTGTTGTAGATGTTGATGGTTTCGTCATCGACCCGCATCGTTGGCCGTTATTCCGCAAGGGCAAAAGAAGGGAACAACGGCCGAAGGAGATTATTACAACAGCAGACATGAGATGCAAAGCGGTTAAGGGTCGGGGTGCTTCCTCCGGGCAATACGGGTTAAGAGAGGGTGGGGACAAAACCAACCACTGTCCCAAACTCGGTAGTTTGGTAAACCGTACAATGAAGTTTATCTTTCTCATAAATGTGTAGCCGGGATAAGCCATACTTTCTTTCTTAAACCCGTGTGCTTTCTCCTCACAAATCCCGTCACAAATCGTGGCCGCTACGTTACGGCAACGGAAGTCGGCTTCTGACACTAGCCATGGTTTGGGTAAGCGTTGATTGGAAAGGGGTCGGAGGGAGTGCAGCCGGAGGAGCCGGGAGGCGGTTTTCCGGCTGGAAAAATTCCTGAATGGAACGCGATGTTGAGAGGATCAGTTGCATGAGCATCAAAAAGAAGGACAACGACGACAACAACAACAACAACAACAACAACAACAACAACAACAACAGCAACAACGCAACTCACAAAGCTAACGAACCACACAAGCACACACACCTTGAGCAAATCCAGGGCTATTCCTGTGTAGTCTCCCGTTTGGTATTCTCGACCAGTGATGACCGCGAATGGAACGGCGGCCTCTTCGGTGATAACCTGTACATATGCATGGGAACATTGATAGAGAAACATCGGCGACAGTCTGAAACCATCCTACAGCATCAGCAGTACTTAGTGGAAAAGTTAAGCAGGTGCGGGACAATCATCTTGAATTCAAGAGAACCAAAAACGACGTACCCCGGGAAGCAATCACGCTGCTCAGACAAACATGTCACCCTACTCCGCAAAGGCCACGCCCTGGCAGGGAATTGCTGTCATGCACAGGCAAAGAAGAGTCCTGATGAAACTGATGCTGGAAAGAAACAAGTGAACACATGCAACGTGCCGGAACACCTCACTCGAACTATTGACGGATAGTGGTGGTGAGAAACACGCGACATTGTCCAACATGCCCGTAGGAACTCACGTATTGTGGATGCATCGCAGGAGCTTACCTCCAAGTCAGTTGCTCGACGTAATGACGAAAACATTGACGTTTTACAACACCACCAGAGAACAAACTTTGCAAATGGTACAAGGCAGCAGCTCTCTCGAACTATACAAAAGACAAAACGTCTATAGGAAGCCCCCTTTGCCTCGAATAGTGGGGGTTAAACCCACCTTGAAATCGACGTTAAGCTCACCTTGAAGTGCTGACGGCTTAAGGTGGGCCTATCGAATGGATATACGTCGCTACCTGCGGGGAAGGTATGGTTCTTCTGATACGGACTGATTTTCTGTCAGGGGCACGCAAGAGGATAACGTGCAACAGCAGGCGGGTGGAAGAAAAATTAAAAAAATGCTTCGGTGCATTTTCATGATTGTCCACGAGAAAGAAAAACATGTTACAACACAAACAACACACCAGCAGAAGCAGTAGCGACCATGACCAAATCACAACCACCGACGACATCGACAGCAGCAGCAGCAGCAGCAACAACAACCGATGTCAACATATCCCACCAAGCAACACAACAAGTTCGCATCTCAGCAACCCCGCATACCCTAACATCGCGCGCAAGGTAACTCATCCTCTGCACCCGTGTGCGCGACTCCATCACTCCACATGGAGGTTGACAATATCGACAGATGCGTCTCGGAAAATGATCAGAACAATCGGAAGGTTTCAGTGACGGCCCGTTGGCGGTGCTCTGCACACTGCGCATAATCTTAGGCTGCGAAAACCGAGCCAAGTGTATAGCTAACGTGGATGCAAGCGCTCGTCGTCCATACAGACGCTCGGGGATGTTCCACTTCCCCCCCGGTAAAAATGACATTGAATTTTTCAGAACCGAGGTGCTCCGTGATTTGAAAGACGTTGGAGTGGGAGCATGAGCCCTTGCAGCAGCTGCTCTTCTTCAATTATACCTTGAAACATGATTCAAAATACAACAAGAGGGATGATGTATTGGGAGGAGGCGAGTCCGTGACGGCGATTACGGCGTACGAACAGGGCACCTCGAACGTGGCAAGCGTCCCGTTGGAGTCGACGAAGGTCTCCGGCCTCCAGAGCATGGTGGTCGCGAAGGTCGCGCCAAGGGAGGCGTGCGCCTGAAGGTTCAGCGCGCAGAACTCGGTGCCGTTGGTCCGCCGCCACCCAGACCCCGCCGTGCCGGCGCCGCTCGTGACGGCCGAGGTCGACTTCCGGAAGGCCACCGGGCCGGTGACCCCGACGATCTCGGTCCCGAGCGCGGCCTCCCTGATGAAGGCCCCGTCCTGCCACAGCCCCGCCGACCTGAAGGGGCAGCTGGATAGGATCGAGGGGGAGGGGTTGTAATATATTGCATGACTTAGCTGGATACCGTCGACCACGCGTCCTAGAGGGGACAGAGCGGGGGGAGGGGGTACTCATAGACTTTGGTATCCCTAGCATGTCGGAACGGAGCGCTCTGGTCTATTTCCAGAAGGAAAAATTGAAACCGGGGGACGGGGGCAAGGGCGGCGCATGTGTCGGTCGTCCCATGCGTTCGTTACGTCGTTTTTCAGACCTTTGGGTGTGCTTTGGGATCATCTCTGTCGAGGGTCACGCGAGGTGGACGCCACCCAGCAGCCCAGGAAATACAGTGCGGTCCATCTCATGTTCTGTGAACATCGTGCCGCACGTTTTTCGACACAAAGAGTCATCGAGTTTTTCAGCCCAAGAGTTCCATGTGTTCTTGTGGTAGATTCACAGGACCTTCATTTACACGGAGTTTGTTTCCTTGCGCAGGAAAGAGTCTGGGCATGTGTGAGTGCGTGTGGGGTAAGCAAAATGAGAATACCATGTTGACATATCCACACCCCGTGGACCGACTTTCGAAGTTCGAGTGCTCCACGATCAAGAGGATGTAGAAGGTACAAGTCAAAGGTTGCCCTTTCGGGAAGCTCGACGAGACGGTTCCAACGACGCCATCTTCGACACCGCTTCTCGTTTCTGCTGTAGCAATCGAGCTGTGAAAGTCTGTCCAGGGTGTGCGACGTGCGTTTTCGGAAAGCTCTTGACGAGATTGACTGTGCCGACAACATGGAGGACAACAAGTGGATGCGTGCAATACACACGATGTGTTTCCTGAGGAAAGCCTTGACATTCTTCTTCCCCCTCATACCAAAACAGCGACAACAACATCAACCACAGCAACAACCACAACAGCAGCCAAAACAGCACCAACATCTACAAGCACAAGAACAAGCAAGGCACCCACTTTCCCGTCACGAACCCCTCCAAGACGCCTCCCCAATCCGCCGCCGTCGACTGCACCGTCGCCACGGCCGCAGCTAGGACAAAGACGGCGTCGTACGCGTACGCGAGCAGAGGGTCAATTCTCCCCCCTGGAGTCAGGGTCCCGAAGCCTGCCCCCGGGTACTTGTCGCTGTCTAGGGCCGCCCACCTGGAGGTAAGGTTTGCCAGAGCTTCAGAACCCGACCCTGCCGGAGCAGCGGAGGGCGAAGGGGTGGACACGTGTTAATGCAAAGCTAGACACATATCCTATTGTGCCGAGCGGTTGGCGTTCGTCATGTCAACGTCCGTCACAATCAGACAACCAACCAATCATGGTGTTTCCGATACCGCACGATGACCAGGTCGTCACCCCCCCCCCCCCCCCCCCCCCCCCCCCCCCNCCCCCCCCCCCCCCCTGATTTTCGTCGCGTGCGCGCGTGAGGGCATTTCTGTTTTTTCGTCCGCATTGTTTTTGGCGCGCCAGTCTTTCCCTTGCGGGAAATTCTGACACATCACCCAAGGCCACACAGGAGGAGAAAGACCAGGCAGGCCACGGGTGTGAACAGTAGGGGGGGACACATCGTAGAACTCCATTCACCGAAACTGTTCGATCTTGGAGAAAGAATACTCCGGAGTAGAGTGTTCAAGTTCTTTGGGCATCAGGTCTGCATTGCGAGGATCACACAACAGTCTTTGGGTTGGATGAGACCTCCTGCGCCGGCAGGAGTCCTCGCCTGGTGTGAGATGGGTAGGGAAAATACCTGGTGTGCCGTTTCGGGCTGGTTATTGAATTCGTTTGGAAGGGGTAGGACCTTCCTTCTTCGTGCGAGCTAAATTCACGGCCTCCCAAAACAAGAAACAAATA